GGTTTGGGCCTGCCACAAATGTGTATGAGTTTGGTTGCGTAAAGTTGTACCGGTTTCACCAGGACATTCTCTCTGTACATTGTAAACAATTTGCAGGACTTTGGCTGTGGCAGCAAACCTAATTAGAGGTGGATACCACTTGCTGAGACTTTCGCTGGCAGTGCTATGGTCAAAGACAGAATGAAAAATTGACCATAATTGATATTCTCTTTTCATTTGGGCTGACAGATGTTCCTTAGAGTCAGAACTTCCCATTTGTTTTCTATGAAAAAGGAGATGAAGAAGATCAGAAAGCTTCCCATGACAAAAGAGATAAAGGAGAAAAGAAGACTTTTCATGAAAAGAGAAGTAGACCGATTTTGGCAGGTTTTTTAGAGGATTAGTAAAAACCACAGCATGACCATTCTGCCCCGACCCTTCACGGTTGGGATTTTCCTAGCAGTGTCAGTTTGACTGATCTCCATGAGATGTCTGCTGTGCGAGCATCGGTGTCATTGACAGACTGTTTGATACGATTCGCTTCAGGTCAGCATAACTTCCGAATGTGCGAGCTTGACCTGAGGAGGCTGTCTGCTGCTGAGTGGCTGTCGGTGCTTGCGCGGGAACGGTCCGTGCCAGCCCATCCCCGTGACAGTCATCCGCCCGTGACAGCTATTCCCGTGACAGCCATTCATCCGTGACAGCCATCCTTGTGACAGCCATCCATCCGTGACAGCCATGCCATCCGTGACAGCCATTCCTATGACAGCCATCCATCCGTGAAGCCATTCCCGTGACAGACAGCCATCCGGGACAGCCATCACCGTGGCAGCCATCCCGTGACAGCCAATCCATCCGTGACAGCCATCCCGTGACAGACATCCATCCGTGACAGCCATCCCGTGACACCATCCCGTACAGCCATCCATCCGTGACAGCCATTCCTATGACAGCCATCCATCCGTGAAGCCATTCCGTGACAGCCATCCGTGACAGCCATCCCTGACAGCCATCCCGTGACAGCCATCCATCCGTGACAGCCATCCCCGTGGCAGCCATCCCGTGACAGCCATCCCCGTGACAGCCATCCATCCGTGACAGCCATCCATCGTGACACCTCCGTGAGCCATCCCTGGATAGTCGTGTTGGCTCGCCCGGCGTCGTCGCGATCCCTGACCGCGTGTGGCGTCCCCAGAACGTGGACGTGAACCAGGATCGACGGCCGTAGTCCGATCCATTACGCCGCGGACTACGGGCAGCTGGAGGTCCTCGAGTACCTGCTCAACAGGGGCGCCGACCTGAACGTGAGTGCGGCCGGTGGGAGCGGCGCGCATGTAGTGGTGGACTGCGCGTGTCTCGAGCACCAGACACTAGTGGCGCTTGGCAACTTGTGTGGGAACATAAGTTGTTTCAAGGTAGCTAGTTCAGCTACGATGCGTAAATAAATGCAGTTGTATGTGGCATGCTCATGCTACTCTTAGCATAGCACTTGTCAAAAGTAATTCTGCAGCTCGGATTTGAACGAACGGGTGGCTGCCGGGCACATGAGCTCCGAGCATTGTCTCCAACGCCGCGCGCAGGCTCTTCAATGCGTCATGGTCCGTGGCCATGGCTCTCCGGGCGCTCTTGATAAGGCTGCAGCGCCAGATCTGTAAACAAAGGTGTGCGAGATCGCGCTCGGCGTTTTTTTTTTTTGGTCGGCTGCCTGCGGCGTCCGTACGGGTCTGTATGGTAACCAAGGCGGCACACGTTTGAACCATTACTGCTAGTTACACCGTGCTCTTGAGCCATTTGGCTCACTAACTCTGGCGAAGTGCCGTAAGCAGCGGTACGGTTGGGAGTGGCTTGAACGGTCTGAGTGACGTTGAAACAGACAGGGTTTTGTTAAAATGAGGGCGTCTTCTGGTCGGAATGTAGCTGTCCTGTACGTATCCACATTACGTGTGCTCGAAGGGGATGTTTCTCATTTGAAGACATTGAAGCAAGCATGAGTTATGATGATGCAAGCTCACTTATAACTATTGGTATGCTTTTCAAACTGAAAAGACGACTCTTGACAGCAGAATTCTCTGCCTAATAAATACGCTCCTCGATGCGTCATTGACCGTATCCCGCACAACATTGATTGAAAGCTAATTTATGGCCGTTATATCTGGAAATCGCGGTCAAATCGCTCTCATAGGAACTCCTCGACAATTGCATTTTATCGGCCTTGATCGTCTCATGGTTTATGGAATGTCGGGATTTGAATGACGTTATGATGACGTCATAAATGCCAAGGTGGCTTCGAAATACTCTCCCCGTTATACCTTTCCCCATTTTCGCGGGTGTGTAGTTCAGAAACTAGAGGGGCAGGATTGTGAGCATCGCCGAAAGGTCTTCGAGATGGCTCTTTTAGTTCAAAACATCATAAAAATGTTGAACACCTCTCTAATGCGGGCTGTAAGAGTTCAAAGTTTACAGTTTAAGGATGGATTCGCACGGAATGTGTCTCTGAGTCGCTACTCACTACTAGCGAATTGTTCTTGTGCAACGGAGATGGCGTAGGCCTACTTGTGTTCAGCTAGAGTAAATCTATTTCTTGAAGGCCGTGTGACCAAAATATTGCGTAATGTATAGTATTATATTTCATGATGCTGCATTTCGGTAAAAATGTATATTTCGTCAAATTAGCGCTAAAGCGATTTGTTCATGCTGTGCTCGCATGGCTGGTGCACTTTTCGGTGTCATGTGTGCGCAGTGATAACTGGTGTTTAACATTGACCACAGTTGGTTTCCACGACAGCATACAAAGCTGGCTTCACCTCCTCAATACCCTCATTTCTCGCGTTGTCTCCGAATGCCGTGACTTTCCACGATCCTTGTCTCCAGGTCACGGATAAGCACGGCATATCGGTCATATTGGCCGCCATCTGGGAGGGCCACACCGATTGCGTGAAGCTGATGCTTAAAAAGGTGGGTGACGCCCTGCCGGCGCTCTCATTTAGGGCCGCATTGTCGCGTTCCACTTTAGACGTGCATTGTCCATTCTTTTATGGGTCACATGCTTTGGAATGAACGTCTGGATTTCTTTGTCATTTACACAATGGTGCGTAATTACCGTGTGTGTCGATGCCGGACAAACACTCATTGTTGTGGCGTGCATAATGCCCCACCACGGTAACTGTCAGCGCTCCCCGCTGGCCGGGTACAGTCTGCAACTTGCGGTGCAGGGCACTAGACGTTGCTAGATTCTGTTGGGCCTGCAGTATCTACACCAACTGCATTCCATGTTCTCTACTGACCGGTGGACTACCGCCTGAATCGGCCTGTACCCCGGGTGTGTCTCCACGTCTGGCCTTGTGCGACCCGCCGTCGTGCGACGGTGACCTTACGCTCGGTCCGCCAGGGTGCTTCCAAGACGGGCTCCACCCCGGACGGCACGAGCTACCTGGACGCCGCCGAGAAGGCCGAGATCAAGGAGCTTCTACGATAGACGTCGCTCCGTCTTCCATCGCGCTGTGATTTGAAATGCCGTTGTGATGCCGCAGCCGGAGCCGCGTAAAGCTATTCTTTGTACTAATCCACTATACATGTGCGGTCCTCTCTATTTATTCCCCGCTGTACGGCCGGGCGTGCGGCGCGGCGTTTCTCCTCCGGACGCGTGCGTTCTGTTGCGGCGTGCGCGGCTCGCGCTGTCCGGCCGGGCGGTGCCGCCGCTCCCGACAGGCCGCCGGCGCCGGATGTTTGTCGACTCCCGCCAGCGGGACGTGACGCGCGCAGGCCGGACGGCCGTGCGCACCGCGCCGCAATCGCCGCGCGGTGGCGCGTGCCGTGTGTCACAGCTCTCGCGTGCGCCCGCCAGCCCACTCGGGACGGACGGGGAGGGACCGGACCCGGTTCGTGCCGCGCAGACCGGGCCCTGTTGATTGTCAGGTACGGATGGACGTGGTGGCTATGGAAATATACTGACCAGGTACTCGTGGGTGAGGGTTTGCGGGATGGAGGACTCGCGAGCGTCTTGCGTTTGCGAAGTGTTAGGATGGAGCTTATCAATATCGCATCATTATCTCATTATCCAGATTAATTCACTAAATATACACGGATTGTCGCCTAGATGCGCATTGGAGTTGTGCTCAGTATCAGTCCTACGGGAAATTCATACCTGTGGGTAGTCTTGATCACTAATAGCAACTCATAGTTGTTTGAGTTTACTGGAATCAAGAACTTCGTTGGCGCTACTTCAGTGAGCCACTATATTGAACGCGCCGGCCGTGGCGCAACGGCATGACGGTGTGACGTGTGCGACCATCGCGCATCATGACAGACACCACCTTATGAACTTCTACGATGGGCTTGGCCGCAGGCGTCGCCGGCGTCGCAGCTCGCTCTAATGACTGAGGAGGCCAGAGAACGCGCGGGATGCGTCTCGAGTTAGCGACGTGCCGGTCACAACGCAAACGCCCCATCACCGAGCTGTGATGCTCTCGGCAGGCATCTCAGAGTGATGGCAAAGTATGGCATCATTGGGATCACTTCGGCGAGATAACGGCGGTCCGCGGCGTGATGTGTCTGAACGCCGCCAGGCTACATCTGGGGGCTGCGGGACACTGCGGAGCTCCAGTGGTTGCTCTGGCTCGCCGGGTCGGCCGCCGATCGGAGAACCAGGTCATCTTCAGACGTCAGACGGACTGGATGCACTATCACTGAACTCCTTTACGTTTTTATATGTGCGTGATGCTACACCAGAATGCATGTACCACTGGTATGAAAGCATCAGGGCCCAGTAACATTGGATTGTAGATTTTTAGCACTCCCGCACGTGCTTCAGTAGGGAAGTAGTCCTTTCTTGAGACACCGCCACGACCGTTGGAGCACCTCGGCACGGTATGGACTGGGTTAAGTCGCAACGTTTCAGGACATGGCCTGGCCGCTCCTGCTGCACCCTGCCAACACGGTCATCCTTGTCTCGCTGCCTCATCGGTCCCAGACACGCAGTCGACATTTGCCAGTCCACCACGGCGCACTGTTTGGCTCCGGTCGTGCCGTCTCAGGACACGGCCATGGGCTTGTAGACGCCGGTGTAGCCGATGAGGCGGGCGCGCAACGCTGGCAGCGACTGCACCGTGGCCACCACGTCGTCCAGCAGACGGCTGCACTCGCAGCACAGCACGTAGTAGATGTCGCCACCGTCGCACGACTTGTGCAGCACCATGCGCCGCAGGCCGGCTCGTTTCGGAATGCTCCGGTACAGAGTCCGGGCGCCTGGGGGAGCAGAGGGCTCTGTAGGGGCTCCACGCGCGGGCTGCTGATGCACAGCAGCCGGGCTCCTGGTAGGAGAAGTAGCGTTCTGGGGAGAGGCATGCAGCACAGCGAGAGGCCCCCTCTGTGAAGACTGGCGACTCTAGTGAGTAGGTCCTGCTGCAAGTTTGACTATATCGGGGCACCCAGCCTGCTAGAGAGTCTGCAGGTAACTCTGCAGCCAGGGACGTGTGCAATGGGTGGCTCAACTCAAATTATCCATGGAAAAGACATTTTAGCGTGCCGCCGGCGCGTAAAAGGTTTCACGGGGCGTAGGACATCATGGCATTGCGTCAGCCTCCTATTTTTACGTCTCTTCTTCGAGTTTTGGGGTGACGACGTCTATTTTCGTCTAGTCTGTACGCGTACACATTTAACACACCAAAATGCGCAGTGATTGTACGTCTCCCCAGCAACCCTCCACATCATTCCTCTGGAATGCGTTTTTGGCTCCTTGTCTATAGATGTAACCACTGGGAGTTTACCGCGGTATGGAGCCGGACTAATTGAAGGCTCAGATACCCAACAGCGGTAATGGCAGGGGAGTACCGGGGCGTAGAAGCTGGCTATCGCTGCTTTGTCGATGTACCGGCAAAGCAGCGATAACCAGCTTATTGTCCCACTGCGGTGCGACGACTCTGACAGGTATGTACATACATTATTGCGGGCATAGGAGGGATGAAAACAATATAGATAGGGAAAATGCAAAAGAGAGAGAGAGAGGGGGGGGGAGAGAGAGAGAGAGAGAGAGAGAGAGAGAGAGAGAGAGAGAGAGAGAGAGAGAGAGAGAGAGAGAGAGAGAGAGAGAGAGAGAGAGAGGGAGAGAGAGAGAAATAAGGTGGAACTGTATGTTGCAACTGGTGCAGGAAGATGCAAGGGAACTCATGGACTTACACATAAATCCGGAAACGCAGAGGCAGTGCGATACCACAGTCTGTGTCAACCGCGGCATACGGGGAGCAAGGTTCGCAAAAACTAGATTCATCGTCTCTTCGCCACCGGCCAGGAGGCGGCGCGAGCCTGTCAGAGGCTGGTTCGGCGTTCCGTCGGGCGGTGGACCTTCGCCGGCTGAACCACGGCCCTCTTCCCCCCCCCCCCCCCCCCGCCGGCAGTCCTACACTCCTCACCGGTCCAGCTGGGCCAGTCTCGCTCGAAGTTCTGCCGGTCGTCTCCCTCCATCACGCGGAACACGGAGATGATGTAACCCGTCCGGTCGCTGGTCGGACGCCGCTGGTCGTCTGGGGGCAGTGGCCAGGTCGCCACGCTTCAGGCGAGAGGGCCAGAGAGGTTGCTGAGGAGAACCAGAGAGGCTGGCGAGGAGAACCAGAGAGGCTGGCGAGGAGAGCCAGGGAAGCTGGTCAGGAGAGCCAGAGAGGCTGGCGAGGAGAACCAGAGAGGTTGGTCAGGAGAGCCAGAGAGGCTGGCGAGGAGAACCAGAGAGGTTGGTCAGGAGAGCCAGAGAGGCTGTGAGGGGAGCCAGAGAGGCTGGCGAGGAGAGCCAGGGAAGCTGGTCAGGAGAGCCAGAGAGGCTGGCGAGGAGAGCTAGGGAGGCTGGTCAGGAAAGCCAGAGAGGCTGTGAGGAGAGCCAGAGAGGCTGGTCAGAGGAGCCAGAGAGGCTGGTCAGGAGGGCCAGAGAGGCTGGTCAGGAGATCCAGAGAGGCTGGTCAGGAGAGCCAGAGAGGCTGGTCAGGAGAGCCAGAGAGGCTGGTCAGGAGAGCCAGAGAGGCTGGCGAGGAGAGCCAGGGAAGCTGGTCAGGAGAGCCAGAGAGGCTGGTCAGGAGAGCCAGAGAGGCTGGTCAGGAGAGCCAGAGAGGCTGGTCAGGAGAGCCAGAGAGGCTGGCGAGGAGAGCCAGGGGAGCTGGTCAGGAGAGCCAGAGAGGCTGGCGAGAAGAGCTAGGGAGGCTGGTCAGGAAAGCCAGAGAGGCTGGCGAGGAGAGCCAGAGAGGCTGGTCAGGAGAGCCAGAGAGGCTGGTCAGGAGGGCCAGAGAGGCTGGTCAGGAGATCCAGAGAGGCTGGTCAGGAGAGCCAGAGAGGCTGGTCAGGAGAGCCAGAAAGGCTGGTCAGGAGAGCCAGAGAGGTCGGTTGGCGTGATGTGGTGTGAGACTGTCATGTAGAAATCTACTTGAGAATTTACATACAGGAGGCTCGACGATGAACAAACCTATATACGGCGGAGTGTGCCTTAACACATGACGTGATTTTACTACCCATCTTTAAATCCAGTCCCAAAGGTATTGACGAAAGGATAAATCTTTAGCGGGCGGCAATGCTCCCCACAGATATACGATAAAGGCCCACGGTACTCAATGTCGCACTGTATATCACTGATATGCGCCCATGCCACTCAGCGTTATGCTGCTTTTCACTGGCATACGCCCACACAGCTCAATGTCATGCTGTATATCACTAAGATACGCCCACGCAACTCAAATTGATGCTGTATATCACTGACATACGTCCACGCAACTCAAATTCATACTGTATATCACTGATATGCGTCCATGCAATTCGATGTTTTTGAAACAATCAGCATTCATAGTGGTCTAAAAACCCACTGATACTGCGTGCACAGAGCACCTGACACTGGCAGCACACACACAAGCAAACCCAAAGCCGGTTGTGCTCACTGAGTGGCGGCCGCGCAATGGTGGCCACCTCCTCGTACAGCTTGACCGTGTGCTGGGCCACGTGTGTGGTCTGCAGGGGTGAGAAGGTGGTGCGCACGCCGTGGCGGATCTCTGAGAGCGCCTCCTGCGCCGCCCGGCCCGCCTTCCGCACCGTGTAGTACAGCAGGAACGGGAACGGCTCTGCGGCCGCCGGCACCGACAGCATGCATATGTGAGATGTGGTTGGGGACAGAAGCGGCCATTGGTGGTGCAAATAGGTGCCGGCTACAGGCGTTGGACATCGATGTCTACTGCCTTTAGAATGCCCACAACAATTTACGACAAATTTGAGAATAGCGTATAAACTGTACACAGTTTCTGTCATAACATAAAGACGAAATGAAAACGATTTCAGAAAGGAAGACCCTTAGGTCTTGGGTTTTCGGCATTATGAACTGAAAGCTTTGATGCTGAGCTATCGATCTTGCGTATACCAGAAAAGCCGGCTAGACGACGTTATAGGGCAAACAATGGTAATTTTAACAGTACTCCACGTTTTCAGTTAGGACTATGCTCGCGAGTAACCATTAGCGCAGCTTAAAACGTCAAGTACTGTCAATGCAACCAATGTATGTCATGTATCGTCGTTACCAGTAGTTCCTGGTATATGGAAGATCAATAGCTCTAAGAACTCCCAACTCGTTACGCCGAGTCAAACCGTACAATCCGGAACGAACCGGTGGTCGTGATTGAATACAAATAGTTGCGCAACTTGTTCTCGTCAGAAAGACGCAATGATTTCAAGTTCTAGCGGTTTAGTTTTCTGCTTCCAACATCCAATTACCGGTGGCGACTGCCGAGAATCAATAGTGGGCCACAGCTGCACAGCTCACCTGTTTTCTCGAGGTTGCTCAGCAACATCGCGTCCCTCGTTTTTCCCGCGGCCGCCACGTGCCGCAGCAGGGCCTTGCACGCGCCCAGCTGCACGTGCAGCGGCGGCACGGGGTCGAGCGGGCTGGGTGCCACGGGCAGCAGGTGGCTTTGCACGTGGATCACCACGCCCAGGTCCGGATCGCTGGCCTCGTGCATGCGCAGCCGCTGGCCGCGGGCAGGCGGCGACGCCGGGAGCTGCGGCACGTGCCGGCAGGTAGTCAGCTGGCCGTCCGTCTGGTGCTACGGGCCTGGTGTTACGTGTTACTGGCTGAGGAGAATGGGAGCTGTCCATGGGTGGTTTGAACGCTTCGATCTGCATTTGCCGTGCATTAGTGGCCAATATTAGGGGCCGGCAGTCACGTAACATGAAACAACGCACGGACATTGGCACATTGGACGCATCCCGAATATCATGGGTGAACAAATACACTGATCTGACGGCTCAGATCTTTCCGCACGTGACATTTTTCTTAACTGAAACCAATCGTCGTTAACCTGTTAGCTCGATACTGCTTTTTGTAATACTATTAAGGGTCTGCCAGTCCCCTCCCCCGTCCTCCACCCGGTATCACACGAGCCACCTAGCATTTTTTAGCAGTTGTAGCACCGTTCGATAAGCCTCGACCAATTTTGCTAAGCTTATGGGCGCTAATAGCCGTAACGACTATGCATCTCTCAGCAGGAGTGCTTAACGAAGTCTTTTAAGTTGGAATAATTTCCGTAGAGCTGTACGATAGGTTGTGGTGAAAAATTGAAGGGTGCCTTTTGTTGGAATCAAGCAATTTTGTCTTTATGTGTTTTGATGAATGCATAAGTAGCCATAAAGCTTTCTCCCTTTGCAAAACGGCTTTTGGCTACGCACTTTCAATCGGAAAATTTGGCGATTTTCGCCGTTTCTTAGTATTTCGGCAAGAAACTCACGTTTTGCGTCGGTTGTAAAAATAGTCAAGGATTTTCATTTTGGGAAAGGACCAGTTCGGAAAGTTCAGAGTGTGTTCTCTTCAGTTATAGGTCAACGTCCTGGAAAACTTGCTTCCATCTGTGGCAATGGCAAGAACGTCCAGGCGATTTCGCGTCCTCCAGGGGCTGTTCACCTGGCGCGACCCACTTGGCCAGTTCGGGACACATTTCTCAGTGATCGAAATCTCTAGCACTTGAGTAAAGCACCTCGTAATAATTCAGCCAAGTGTATGAAGAAACCACGTCATCAAAATAGGGTTCAGGCCTATGAGACCATGAGACTTTGTTTCACCGTAGTCGTAGACATGAAAGGAATGCGGAACAGATGTTTCGGGTATGTTTGTGACATGCCTGGGCGAATTACCATATCTTTCGTGTGTACAACCCTTTTGCAAAGTGTTTGGGAACGGTTATGGCGTCAATAAAACACAGGTCTGCACCCTTCGAGGTTCACAAAACGAAGGAGACACTTGAGGATCACAAATGAGCACGTATTCAACCGCTCACTGCATCCCAAACGGAGCTCGTAAGTTTCAGTGCTTATGCAGATTGTCCCACACTACTGTCACCCAGTTTTCTTTGCGTGTTGGTTGACTGCAGTACATGCCGTTCAGAAATCCATCCACAAATATGGTGGGTACAAGTTCCCTTGTGAGTAACGCAAAACTGGCTTTAAAGCACAAAAGTGGGAATTTTTAGGAATGGCTGTCGGCACGAGAGCCAGAACAAGCTTCACCCTGACCAAGCTTACCAAGCTGGAGGGGTTGCCCATCGCCCACCTCCCATCCAGAGAAGCACCCTCCAGCATGTCCTTATGTTCAAGCTGCTGGATCTCTGGGACGGCAGGAGCCTCCGCCATGGAGCTGGCGAGGAGGATGGGGAGCAGGGGTGTCATTTTATGAGATGATTGGGTGGGGACTGAGCCGATGAATTTAATGTAGCCTGACCCTAAGAACCTGATTTCTTCCCGGATTTCCGCCACTTTAATGTGCAACCTCGATGTCGAGACTGAGCACAAAACTCGGAAAATGGTTGACTTCAAAATTACTTTGCCGCTGCTTTTGTCGTTTCAAGCCAATGTGAAAATGCATTTTTGTTTAAAGAAAACTTCGAATAGGGTGTAACTCACAACAAAACATCTGAGCGAATCAATCGGTTATGATAAGGCAAAAAAAGTGTTGTTTGCTCTCAACTGAGCTGGCCCGGGGCGCAAAAACACAGAGTTATTCAGAATGACGGTGGCTGACACGTGCAGAAAAGAGACCAAGGAAGATTATTCGCGTGGATTAGCAGGGTGTACCAATCTAAGAGTGAAATTGAGCTTGCACGACCTTCTCACCAGACATGTTGATTATTGGAGGGACAGATGAGCTAAAGCCTGATGACCGGACCGGTCGCCAACGAAAAAATTGCGCCACCAACGCTTTGGCACACATTGGAAGCTTAACTAAGCAATCAATGCATTGAGCTTTCATATTGAAAATAACCAACATTTAGTATATAAGAAGGTTGCCTCAGCCAATGACATCATCAAGAAAGTGTTGGTTACATTGAGAAAACTCGGCGTTTGGAGGCTGTGGCCACGGTCAGGTTCGTTCGCAAAATCGATCAACACCACCCCAGCATTTCTTTCACTCTGGAGCGCACCACGCAAAATGTGTTGATCGCATTCCTAGACACCTTTGGTGCGGTGAATCCAGACGGGACACCGCTCACTGTTACCGCCGAACTGTTCTTCCAACCGTCCCGTCCTGACACGTACCGCAGCCCGTCTTGATAACTCAGCGAGTTAGAACACCTGCCCTCCAATTCGCCCAGCTGTGGCGGAGTGTGTTCGAGCGCTTTAGACGTCCGCTTTTTGTCCCTGATTGGGATCGCCTGCGGCCGGTGGCAGCGGCCGTGATGACGGCCAGGTGACGTCAGAGGGCAGGACGGACCACGCAGAGCATTGCAACAGCTATCGCGGCAAAGTTCCGCCGTTGGCCCGAAATTTTGCAATCGGATGGCGGGGTCAGAGCTTACGTAGCAAGCACTGCTTAGCGTTGGCGTGCATTCCAGAAATGCATCCAATCAGTAAGCGCAGACTGAATCCCAAAAGAACTCATGGCCGCCTCCGTCGTAACGGATTCACTTCCGCACGCACCATGACTACACTGGGAAAGCAGCCCAATTTTATCACGAACGCGGATGACCGAGTATATATGTTCTGCTTTCCAGTCGTGTCAAAGTAGTCGTGCTAAAAGTAGCTCTCCTTTCCCGTAAGAACGGACACCCGGAACTCTGAATGAGATCTCCCGATTGTGCTGTACGTTTTAGATAGGAATTCAATAAGTGGTTTGCCAAGAAGGCGTAGAAAGATGAAATAAATAGACTGTAAAGCAAACAGATCTATGCCAAAATACCATTTATGAGGTGTACGTCTTGAACTCTCCCCAGATAAAAATAAGTCATGATTTATGTACCGATGACAAGTTTATTTCTTGCACAAACAAGATCGCGGCTGTATTCCAGTGACCCTCCGTTGGCGAAACATGATACAAAAACAATGGCAGTCATCGGTGATACAACATTCGTCAAGTCGTGACTCTACAAAAGACGATTCTTTTAGGACAAGAACGAGAACTCTGTTAAGACCACCTCACTGATATCCTGGTAGGCCGTGAGGCGGGTTCACGGGACCGGTCCAGACCAGGGGTGGGGGGGGGGGGGGGGCAGGGGGCTCCAGCAGGACGGGGCCGGGACGAGGAGTGGCTCCGGCAGGACGGGATCGGGACGAGGAGTGACTCCGGCAGGATGGGGTCGGGACGAGGAGTGGCTCCGGCAGGACGGGGTCAGGACGAGGAGTGGCTCCGGCAGGGCGGGTGACATCGCATACGAAACAGGCCTCACTGGATTGTTGGGGAAATAATTTTCCTCGAATGCACATCAGCTTAAGACTAATGTGCTGTGATGGTGAAAAGGGTGAAAGCGACCATTTTTCTTCCTGAAAAGCAGTTAGCCAGATAGACTTAATTTGAGCAAAAACTCTGCGGTTGTATTCATCGAAAACAAAAGAAACATACCAAGCTTCCTCAAAAATTATGTTTTGGCTTTCTCACCTCATCCTAGAGTCCAAGGAGGAACGCCGTGCGAAATTTTCGATGTTTGGAGCCTAGATCCAGTTACAATCGTCGCCTGCAGGATGATGAGATGTGTGGTGCTAGGCCTAATATTGACTATATATATATATATATATATATATATATATATATATATATATATATATATGCCCAGTTTTAATGGTTGAGGGTATTTGAACTTCAGCCTAGGTTAGGTACTACAGCGTTACAGAAAAAAACTGAGGCATGGCGCGTACAAAAGGGTCACGCCAATAAGTTTGTGCTTCATCTAGCATTGCAGGGATATACTAGACATAGCGCAGAACCAACACGTTTCTCTGGACTGGATAGTGGATGCTCCTCGACGCGAGCTGGCGACCAGCTGGGCGGCCCATTGGCTGGCCAGCTGGTCGCCTGTCCGACCTCGCTGTATACCTTGGAGGAGAAGCGCACGTGCCGACTGATGCCGTTGGCACCTGGGTGTTTGTCTGCGTCGCGTCCAACAGAAGCGCGCGACGCTGGCGATCGGCAGATATTGGCCTGTCGCCGTCCCGGGCTGGCCAGAGGCCCGGCGTGGCGGGTCTTGTGCGAAGGCCGGGGGCCTGTACAGCCCGGTAATGACGCTCTCCCGGCCTGGCCAGAGGCCCGGTGTGACGAGTCTCGTGCGACGGTCGGGGGCCTGTACACCCCGGCAATGATGCTCTCCCGGGCTGGCCAGAGGCCCGGCGTGGCGGGTCTCGTGCGACGGTCGGGGGCTTGTACACCCCGGCAATGATGCTCTCCCGGGCTGGCCAGAGGCCCGGTGTGGCGGGTCTTGTGCAACGGCCGGGGGCCTGTACAGCCCGGTAATGACGCACTCCCGGCCTGGCCAGAGGCCCGGTGTGGCGGGTCGCGTGCAACGTCTGAGGGCCTGTGCAGCCCGGTTATGACGCTAGAGGCTCGGTGTGGCGGGCCCTTCCCGTGCGCCGGCCGACGGCCTGCGCAGCCCGGTAATGACGCAATGGAGGGCGGCCGGAGCGTCGTGCTGTGTCCCGATATCGAATCGCACGGTTAAAAACAACAGCTATGCCACGGGAGTCGGTAACATTTTGCAAGGCGCAACCCGTGCTTTTGTGTGCAGTCA